CCAGGTGTATATGTTATACTGAATAAATATTTATTAAATTCGCCTACAGATTTTCAAGCCTATTATTACTTTTAATAACTAAAAAAAGTTAAATTTTTGATTATCTTTCTTCGCGTTAAATATTCGTAGAACTGGTATTATATAATGTCAATTTTGAATTTATTTCATATAAAAGTAATAATAACTATACGAAAGCATTAAACGCTGATACATTTTCAATTGTTTCTGTTCCTACGCTGCAAGAATTCAAAGAATGAAGTTCTATGAAATTGTCTTTGGAATTCCCTCTCATTGTAAAGAGTGTCCATAAATGATCAACCACTTTTTTAGTTGGATAGAATAAGGAACATATCAGATGAACAGTTGGGGTTTGTGGCACGCGGGAGACTGGTGTCGAAGTTTTTTCCCACTAGTTCAGATCGGGGATATGTGAAGGAAGAAAAAGTACAGGATACGGCTATGAACATCGTCCACTTCGAACTGTAATAACGGTGCCAATATGGGTTTGCCCATGTTGAGGTATAATAATGACACCACTGGCCATGGGCAAACCTAAGGTGTTAACCTTCATTATGCTACAAACCACAATTCTTTATCTTATGTAGTTCATATTCTATCATCAGTGCATATAAAAGCCAAATGTCGGTCGGTCACGCTTGATTTCACCGAATGTCGTGAGTTACACGAGTCCAATTCCACTTTTTCTCATATGATACGTCCTCTTTTGGTTGCCTGTTTTATACGGAAGAATTTTAGTTTCCAATGGTTTCCCGCCATTTTTGACGGGCTTTTACGTTAGTTCAATTAATAATGTACTTCAGTAATTTATGGACATCCAGTACATTTACAAGCATTAGTATTAGAAAGATATTAGCAAAGACATATACTCATCGCTTGTATCTCTGGATTCATTTCGAGATGTTGGAAAATAATTACCCAATTTGTTCAGATTTGCTTCTTATGAAGTTATGTATGGTTCCAATTTTGATTATTAAAAACAAAAAGACAAATCAGTCTCTAGTTTTGAAAACTTGAAAAGTGATAAAAATTCGGTTTTGGGTTGAAATGCAAAGATCATATTTTGATGAGTTTTGTCTTTTGAACAAATGTAAAATTGATATTGTTTTATTATACTAAAACGTTTGGAAACGATGCTAAGTGAAATCCATCTACCTCGTCAGGCCCGGCATGGCTAGATGGATAAGGCGCTCGACTCGCAATCTGAGGGTCGCGGGTTCGAATCCCCGTCACACCAAACATGCTCGCCCTTTCAGCCGTGGGGGCGTTATAATGTGACGGTCAATCCCACTACTCGTTGGTAAAAGAGTAGCCCAAGAGTTGGCGGTGGGTGGTGATGACTAGTTGGCTTCCCTCTAGTCTTACACTGCTAAATTAGGGACGGCTAGCGCAGATAGCCCTCGTGTAGCTTTGCGCGAAATTAAAAAAAAAATCTACCTCGTCGTACAGTAACGTCTGTGAGTGTATTTTCCGGTTTATTTAATTGTTTGTGCGGTAATTAAAGAAGTACTTGAAATGTAGATTGGTAATTTACATATGTTGTGAAAGACAAGAAAGTCCCAAAGTAAAATTGTTTGATTGTATGTGTGTGTATTTAAGTATCAATACAATCCATTACAATTAAATTTCCAGCTCTTATTGAATAGACTGGTTTTTCGGGTGAAAGACTTTACATTGTCAAATAATAACAATGCTATCGAGGAGTTTTTTTATTTATTTTTTGTTCTTACTTTTTTCTAATGATGGTTCCACATTTTCTCTCTCTTTTAGTTTCAGAAAATCACCAAAGAATGAAGAATAGGAAGGAATGTCGGAAGAGTTGCTCAGCAGCGAAGGTATGATATTAACAGTTAACTCCAAAGGCCTTTAAACGTTTTGAACTCCCCAATTTCGGAACACGTGCTCTGTAATTCTGTGTGTGTGTGTGTAATTCAGAACACCTGGACGGGCGTGAGCTCGAGTGACGTTAAGAAAAGGTTACTTTTGAAAACTGAACGCAAAATATAGTGTCCGTATTCGATTTTCAGAAAAATACGATAAAAATAACAGCAACAAAGCACCAGCTTCTCTCTATGTTTAATTCATGAACACAGGTGTGAAATAAATAACACACCCAGCGTATTTCGTTAACACTATAGGTTACGATGACAACAAGAGTCTAGCTTGCGATTAATGATATTAATTATACAGGCCTGCGAATTTAAACTTCGTAAAAGTTGTATTGGTTTTAATAATGGATTTTCCTTAATTCAGCTACGCAGACTTCAAAAATAATATTTATTTTTTTGTATCACGTAAGGATATTTTACAAACCGGGAAGAAAAAACAACTCTTACTTAGATCAAATTTAGTACAAATATTACAGAATATGTTTGGGTCATTTAAACAACCTCTTGTTGCTATAATATTGAAAAAAAAAATATGTATTAAAATGTACTCACAAACAAATAATATCCAGAAATGGCACGTCATGTGGCCTGTTAACCGTTTATATACTAGCGGTGTGTTTCTCGCGGATTCTAGAACGATCTATAAGACCCTCACGTCGCGATTGGTCTAAAGAAATCTATAGCCATCGGTTGTCAATATTTTAATCATAAGAAAATGTGACCCGATTTCAATGAAAATGATTCACTTATGTAAAAGTACATATAACATTTTGTGAAAAATCTGTACGTTATGGAGAAAATGGATATCATTTTCGGATTCAGCGTACAGGAATTACTGTAAAATTTTCAAGACAATAAAACCATCGCTGGCCTGTGTTATTATTTTACCGGAGGAGTTTCACAATCCCACTTTACGAACAATGTCATGTTTCATTCGTTTGACGCCCCCAGTGGCTCAGCGGTATGTCTGCGGACTTACAATACTAGAATCCGGGTTTAGATACCCGTGATGAGCAGAGCACAGATAGCCCTTTGTGTAACTTTGTGATTAACTACAAACAAAAAACAAAACAAACATTCGTTTGGCTTAGCATAATTACTGTTTTTGATCTGTTTTTGTGTAGCAAACAACTTGACACATAGAACTGATGTTTCTACTTTCCTTTTGTTTCTTTAAGTTCCTGTTTTATCCTCGTGTTTTTTTAGACCAGGGAGTGATTCACTTTATCTACTGCTTAAATCATTTTGAATTCAAGGACGTTTTGATAGAACTTTAGTGAAGTTTTACCAATATTTATTTTAGGTGTTTTATAGAGGTGATGACAGAAACAAGGCATATAAAAAGCTCATAGAAAAAGCACGTAAAAGTTTTTTTATTATTCTTTATTTTGTTCTTAAGGTACAGTTTTTTATTTTCCACTGAAACTGATAACGCAAGGCATCCGTATCGCCATACAGTATGATGGCTGGTACGTCTTAACGGATATAATATCGTTATCATTCATGCTCTTATTCTTAATAAACGTTGAGAAAGGTACATAGGGAGACATTACACAGTTTTCGACATTGGGAAAATATAATACAATGGATATCCCAGGTGGCGCGTTTTTCTTTGCTTATCATATCAACGTCCTGTGGGAGTTATATGTTTGTTTTAGCGTAAATCTACACACTAGGCTCTCTGCACTCTGTCTACCACAGGGAATCGAATCCTGGATTTTAGCGTTGTAAGTCCATAAACATGCATCTGACCCACTGGGGAAATATGGAAGTTATACTGGTACTATATATTTTTCTTTGCTCATTATGTGAATGTCGTATGGGTACCATACTGGAACTATGTAGATTCCCATGATACACATGTTTTTGTATTTATTTATTTATATGTGTGCATACAATACAACACTCGATAATGAACAAGTTTAGAAATTGACCAAGACACTCTTGGTCTACTGATTTTTTTACTGTTTGCATAAAATATTTAACAAATGATTCTAGACACTTTACATATACAAAGAAAAACTTTCTACAGAGTGTCCGAAAAGTCTGGAACCATATGTGATTTGCAGATTTTATTAATTTCAGATACGTGACTGATTATGGTGCTGTCAAAGCAGGAAAATGTTGAGTTTATCCTGCTATTAATCCAAACTTGTTTCGAATTACAAGGACAGCAAGTGGAACACATTCTGTAAAATTTCTTGAAGTACCTATAGTTTCACCCTTTTGTCAAGCGTATTTTATAATCAGGGGCATAGCGTCAATAGTGCTCTACCAAAACTTTTATACCTCTTTCCAAAATTGTTCCATTGTTTGAATGCTGAGTTAGCATATTCCCACTTCCCCAGTTGATCTTGAAAATATGAAAGTCTTGTTTACGTTACTCTTGCCATGCGCGTGTTTCTCGGAATCATCAGTGGCTGAGATAGTAGTCTATTTCCATTTTTAACCAATGGAAAACTTCTTATCAACCCTAAACTCTTCCCTCCTAAGGTAGTGCCTCGATAATCAACAAATGATTTTTTATATATATAATTAATTTAAGCTATTGTCAAAAAGTAACGTTTGGTGACGTATGATTTATTACATTCCACGTTCATGACAGTATATTTAAATTTTGTGACATGTGCATTTTATGTGCCGGAGTTAATCAGTACTTCATATTTACAAGTTGTAAGACTGAAATTACTATAAACTAGTTGTTGACAGTTTTAAGGAACGATAATATGTTAGTTGTTTTTTTTTTATAGAAAGAAAACATTTTATTTTATCTGCAATATTTTATTTCTTGTTTTCGTCTTTAGTACTTTCTTGAACGATTCAGAATCGTATAGGTAAAAACATTATTTTCATTTGTGTATATTGTGAAATAGATCCTCAGATCTCACTGTACAGTACCTTAAAACCATCCAGATTTCATGGTCCACTTGGATCCCTAGATCCCTGCTTATTTGTATCCGTGAGGGTGCAACTAATTTTCTGGTACATAACAAACTCAGTGTACGCATCTGTATGTAATCCATTATAATAAATCAGGTTAATGTGAACAACAATCCATGGAAACATGCTTGGGTGCAGAACCAGTATGTTCTGTAATCCATTAGAACGTCAGAGGTTTCTAAACCAGTGTGTTCTGTAATCCCTTAGAACGCCACAGGTTTCTAAACCACTATGTTCTGCAATCTATTAGAACGTCACAGGTTTCTAAACCAGTGTGTTCTGTAATCCCTTAGAACGCCACAGGTTTCTAAACCACTGTGTTCTGCAATATATTAGAACGTCACAGGTTTCTAAACCAGTGTGTTCTGTAATCCCTTAGAACGCCACAGATTTCTAAACCAATATGTTCTGC